CAGGGACATTTGTTCAGGAAAATTTGCTGACTCATTTGAAGGAAATTACCGAATCAATATGGATCTGCATCTGTGAATATTTTTCCTTCTACTCTTAGACTTAACTTTCCCAGCCTAACAGGCATGGGGTAAATCTCTTCGAAAGTCCAGGAAGGACAACCTCAGGTTTCAAACAAATTTATTCTTCAAAAAAGGGGGTGGGCAGGAGGGGAAGCCAGCTAGAAGGATATCTTTGCAAATCGGTTGGAAAATGAAAGAAAAGAAATCCAGTCACCAACACCAAGTAACCTGAGTGAGTTTTCCTGTAATAAACTAATTTTTGACGGGCTTGTTGACTCTTTGTGTTACAGAGGCCTGGCCAAATGAAATTTGAATTGCTTTTTCTTGGAAAAAGCTGATCAGAACAAAACCTCCACTGCCTTCTGAAGCAAATTGTCAGAGCAGATCCTAACCTCAAATCATGGAACAATTTACAGAGAAACAACCGCTGTCCTGGAAGCCACTTGCCACACATCCTACACAATCACACAACCAGTTGATGAACAACTCGTGAGTCTTCCGGTAGAGATCCTGTAAAAACACCTTTTATCTCTTTCTTTTTTTCTAAATGAAACTGAGTATTAGCCAATAGTTCTAGATATTTTTTCCCTACTGGAAGACCTTTGAGACCCCAGCATTTCACAGTAAAATAGAAACTCCTGCCATGTGTATTTAATGCAGCTGCTGTCAGTTGCAGTTCAGCAACTGCAGGTCAACCCGTCGTGCAGCATCTGGTTTTAACCTGGGATTTCTCAGCACTTTGTGTTCTCGATGTATCAATTTGCCTCGATGCCCAGATTCCAAAATCAAAGGGAACATAATCTCATCTCAAACAGAAGTAAATGGGAAATTGATGGTCTTGCCTTGTAGGCAAAACATAACAAAAAACAACTACCTAGTCTGATCCCATGAAATAGAGCCATCTGGAGAAAAATAAACTAACTCTCAATATTTTAAATTCAAAGGCTCATTGTCCCACTTTTTGCTTTCCATTTTCTTTTTAATGGTTGTTCTTAAACTTTACCCCACAGCACTTCTCCCTGAATTTTCTCCACCTCCCTGTCATTTCTGTGTGCCACCATCAGCAAGCAATGGTGGGGTAACTGCAGGATTGCCCCTCAGGCACTGCAGTCCCCAAGGGGGGGAGGACGCATGCTGTCAAGGTGCTGTAGTCCTTAGCTCTCGTAATTCACGGCTGCCTTAATGCCCTCTGTGTATCCCTGAGCATCCCTGCCCTGGATTCAAAATCCATCCCAGCCTGAAAGGAACATATGGTGCAAAGGCTGGAAGCAGGCAGTTTCACTGAGAAATCAAATTGCTGATCAATTTAGCTAATGGCTCGGTCAGCAAATTTACTTGTTTAACTCTTGAGTTTTAGTTGGCCAATTTTCATTCTGTTTTTACAGCATCATTTTAAGGAGTCTGTCTGTCCCCGCTTCCTGCTGCAGCTAGACACCGACAGACAGAGAGAGATGGAGATTGAGAGAGTATAACAAGAATATGTTTCTGAAGAAAGATTTCTTTTGAATATATTATTCATTAATATATTTATTCATAGGAAGAATATATTTATAAGGATTCTGAATATTCGAGAATCTTTTTAACAAATGTAGTATTCACAGATATATTCATAAGTAAAGTTTTTAAGAGGAATATATTTATAAGAGAAAATATCCATGAAGAATATATTCTGGAATATCAAGAATATATTCATAGGGACACTTCATATTCAAGAACATATTCTTCAGCCCTTGGAGTTGCAGAGACAAACTGAATATTCCTTAAAATGATATAAAGCAAAATTCAACATTCTGAAAAGAAATGAGTAAATGTGGCAAGTTTGTCATTTCCTGGGTGGGTAAGAACGCTTCTAGCTCATGCAATCGCAAGGTGAGGATTCAGGATCCTCACCCCATAGCTCAAGCATTTTCACTATACTTCACAGCCTCCAACCCATACTCGAAAGATGGAGATCTGAGAGACAAAGATGCCTCATCCAAGAAATCCCATGTATGTTTGAAAGTCAGCAGTCAGCAAGGGAGAGATGTCATAACTTGGAGTCCTGTGTTAACAAAGAGTCAATCTCTCGCACTGTCACTCTCAGAAACTCTGAATAAGTGGGTTATACAAGGTCAGGATTTCTAATCACAGAGGGAGAAAAGAAATGTTCAGAGATTGTTAGGATACATTTTTTTATTTTTCTTTTTGGAACGTCCTTGGGCTGTTGGAAGTGAGAGATTTATTTTTGCAGAAGTTATCTGAAATTACAGGCATTCAAGCCAAAGGTCTCAGAAGTCCTGAGCTCCCTTAGGATCCGTGCTAATGGCCTAATTTCCAGCATCATAGTATGCACTTATGATGTGTTGTACAAACGGTCCTCTGGGGGAACTCTTCCCAACAGCCTTGAAGTTGGTATTTCTTGAAGCCCTGTTGGAGATTCTCTGCTTTGTCTCCGACTCCACTCATGTTCCAGGTGGGACTCAGGAGAAAAGGAGAGCAAGAGGCTGAGTGCTGAGGTGGCAGCAGAGGCCCCCTACCACCTGCGTGACTCTTGGTGCTGCTTGGCTCTGATAGTGGTGGGGTGCTCCTGGCAAGCAAAAGATTTCAACTCAAAATGTCCCAAATGTCTTTCGGTAGAGCATTGGGAGAGGGGGAAGGGAAACTGGCTGAAATGGTGTCAGTATTATTTTTCTCATTTTACAGAGAAGTTACACCTTTTTAGGAAGTTGCAGAGTTGGGATGCATCTGAGTTTGATTGGCTTGCTTCAGCCATTGATGCAACAAATGACTTATTGTGTGCCAACTAAGTGCCAGATGCTGTGCCAAGTGCCAGGAATAAATGATGAACACAACAGAGGGACACAGTCCTTGTCCCCCTAGACCTTCCAGACTAGTGGGGGAGACAAGCAAGCAGTAACAGTAGAGTGAAGAGCACTTCCATGGAGAGGTACAGGCTGCCTTGGGGCCGTCGAGTAAGTTGGGGTGTCAAGAAAGACAACCGAGGAAGCAGGAGGAGGAGGGGACCAGCTGTGCAAAGGAGGGAGGCCTAAGAACTGGGTGAATTTGGGGAAAGGAAAGGAGTTCAGTATAAATCCAGGCTGACATGTGGAAGAGAGAGGAAAGAGAGAGACACCCAAAGGGTGGGCAGGGGCTAGGCTGTGTGGGCTGGGCCAGCACGACCAGCTCTCAGGAGCAGATTGTGCACCCGTCTCCTTGATTGCAGTGGTGTTGTGTTGGTAGAAGAAGAATTCATGCCACAGAAATAGACAGTCAGATGATTTGAGTTTCCTGGCTTGGGCAGCTACTCTGATGATGGCAGCATTCACTCTGGTGGGGAGTACTAGGAGGGGGTGATCTGAGTTTCCCTTTGACCATGTCAAGATTGAGGTACATAGGTGACAGAATGAGGGTGCCGGCAGGTGGCTGGAAGCCTGGATTGATCTCTTTCTATCTGATCACACTGTCTTCTAGGAACACAATAATTCAACCCTGATTTGGCTTTGTATTCCCTTACTGTTCTAGGTCCTTCTGTTGAAATGACATGTATTAAATATACTAACCACAAATCTCAGATCTTCCACGGAGCCTACGCAATGAGCAATTTTGAGGTTCCTATTAATCAAAAAAAAAACCTCTCCAATTTAATCTCTTAAATTATTAATACCTAAGCCTACCTCCCTAAGGAAACATATCTCAAGGAACTCAGTACACAAAAGCGCTGATTTCTCTGCTGGCTGCTGTGAAGAGGGCCCTTTGTCCTTCCACGGCTGAGAAAGAACAGATTTGGCTGTGGTGCAGGTTAGAACAACAGACACATTAAGTACTGAGATGTGAATTTTATCGGTTTATTATCATTTAAAATATATTAAAATTTTAACATAGAAGGAGCAGAAATTTTAATTGCACCTGGCAGTCTACAAAAAGCAAAGCAAAACAAAACAATAAACAAAACTCCACAGAAACAAAATTTATATTAAACAATAATATATTAAAATTCCATTTAGGTAAGAATCTAAAGAAATGTAATACATGCACACCTCTTGGAGAAGATTTTCTTTTCTTCAGTGACCTAAAGTTTGAGAAATTCCCCAAGCAGAATCAACTTTCTTAAACCATAGCATTCTTAAGGAAGCAAATGAATATGGTCTCTGAGTCTCTTTTTTATCTATCTCTTCCCTTTCTTTTCCCACCCCAAAATGATGGATCTCCACTTCCATGAGGGCTTTTATAGCTCTCACTACATGTACAAGTAGTAAGAAATGTAAGACATACTTGTCTTTCAACTTGGTGGGACCGACTCCACACGACTTAAGTCTCAGATATAATCACTCATGACAAACGAACAAGCTCTGATAACAAATTTTAAAACAAAGAATAAATACCAAGCTCCCTACTTTAGAGATCTTCCCTTAAATGGTGTGTCTGTTTGTGAAGATGTCCACAAGGCCCTGGATGTAACTCAGCTCCTTATTACACAGATTTGGACAGGCCACAGGAGAGACTAATTCTCCTGAAATCCCTTTCACAGTGGGAGCTGGAGGGTTTAGGTGCAGGTGAGAGTCTGGCCCAGCAGCCAATGCCAGGGTTAGGACAGCGTTCTCGGAACTGCCACTGCTAGAAGAGGGTCCTCAGCAAGGCCTCTCCAGCTTTGGGAAATGCCCACCTGACTCCTCCTGTTTCTCCTGGGCACACTCTTCTCTGTAGGCTCAGGAAACCTTGGGAGCCCAACCAAGGAATGGTTAATGGAACAAAAAGAATCATTAATGAATCATGAAAACATGTGCTTGTTATTATCATTTTTTTTCTTTTTTTCTTTTTTTTTTTTTGTGACTGGTAAGGGGATCGTAACCCTTGGCTTGGTGTCGCCCGCACCACGCTCAGCCAGTGAGTGCACCGGCCATCCCTATATAGGATCCGAACCCGCAGCCTCGGCGCTCCCAGCGCCGCACTCTCCCGAGTGAGCCACGGGGTCGACCCGTTATTATCATTTTTTTAAAAAGATTCACACTTTCCTGAGTAAAGTACACAAAAAATCTCCCATGGAGTCTTTTTACAGCACCAGGCCTCCATCTCAGACTCACTGAACCCGGATAGCAGATCTGAGCCAAGCGTAGATGTTGTTCTGTTGGAATTGTGAACAATGTATTTATGAATACTGTTTTTCTAATATTTTACCGCTTGAGAGTTTTATGCTTGCAAAATGGGAAATGGTTTCTTTTTGAGGGACAAGAATAAAAGTGTCTATGTAGGCTTCTTTGGTCTGTTTGTTGCAACACATCAGAGCTGAAAGGATCCCACTAGATAATGATTCATGAACCCAAATGTGTGCTTAAGCCTCTGAGTCATTGGCACTTGATCAGTCCTCAAAATCTTCTAAACTGCAGACACTTCAAAAGGTCCAGTTTAAATACAGATATGACCACAGGGACATTAAAATCAAATTAATGTGTGCCATCTTATTGCTGAAAGAGCACAGGGCCTGGTGCCAGTGGAAGTTCAGGGGCACAGTTATCCCCTGACTTCTTGGCCTGAGACAGTATCTTCTTCAGTGAGGTCTTGGGAATTCCTAAACATCAAAATAGAATTGTAAATCTTCAGTGCTGGACCCAGCTTGATCTTCATCACTTTGACAATGTCCTTCTGTGTCAGAAGAAGGAAGGCTTTGCCATCGATCTGCTGCAAATAAACAAAAACAATTAAAAATATCCTGCCACTAAAGCCTGATTGCACACCAGTAACTCCTGGGTGCTGAGCATGGCACTGAACCTGAGTGCTGGGTAGCAGGAGAGGATGATGGTGTCCTTGACATGGCTCAGTCCCAACCATCATTGCTCAACTCCAATTTGTCCCCCAGGACTCTGAAGTTAAATTAAATTAAAAAGGTGCTCACTCTACTAAATAAGAATTCAATATATACTGTTTCCAGACTAAATTTATGTTGTTATGTTTTTGAAATCTTGGCCTGAATTTGTATCAAGAGTGTTAAAAATAACACCAAGTAAATCTCCAGGAGTTTTTCCCAAGAGAGTAATGTGCAATGCATACACACTAGCTATGTGTAACAGTGAGATACTGAAAACAATCCAGTGTTCCATTAATAGCCAAAGCAAAGAAATTATGGTATAGACACAGGTTGGGATACTATGCAGTCATGAAAATTCATGTCTCAATAAAACATTTAATGAGTTGGGAAATTTGTCATGAGTCATTAAGCAACAAATTCTGATAGGATGATACAGACAGATCGGTTTTAATTTGCAAAATTAAATATGCATGACTGTATGCATACATACACATATTAAAAATATTTGAAATCTTTATGCCAAATAATAATGAAAGTTTTTTTTGGTTGGTGGAATAGTGGTTGGTTTTTATTTCCTCATTTTAGCTTTCTTGTATTTTAATTTGTTCCTATAATAAACATGATTATAAGCAGAAATACAGACAAAATAAAAGTTTTATTTATTAACATAAAAAAAAGGTTCAGGATGATTCCTGGCTCCAGATGGACAGGTTCTGGGGACCTGACATGCGGCAGGAGTGGTGATGGATATGTTAATTCATTTTATTGTGGTAATCACTGAACCATGTACACATATATCAAATCATCACATTGTACCCTTGAATATATTCAGTCTCCTATTTGACAATTAAATATTTTTAAATAAAAAACCACACTGTGGACTGAAATGTGATAGCTCTCCTAAGACCCCCACAATGGCAAATGGCCACTGTGCAGGCTGTTTCTCCACAGTTCTGAGGCTGTGTGACCTGAGTGTGACTCCTGGGACAGGAGTGCCCTGCATCTCTGTCACTTATTTACACAGCCTGCCTTGGAGGATTCCTGGCTCCAGAACTAAGAAGACAGGAATGATCAGGTTTTCTATGGTCACACCCTTCCATGAACCTAGCACTGTGGTTCCAAACCTTTTCAAATAGTACAAATCCCCTAGCGTCAATGTCTTACTGACAGTGATTCTTATGACGAAAGGAGGAACTACCTTGGGACTCCTGGGGTGGGGTTTTAAAGTTTTAACACTTAAAAATGTTTTTAAAAGTTTCCCATGCATTTAGGATATACTGTCTGATGAAGACTCAGGTATCCAGAGAATGGAATACTTTGCCCAGGGGATAAAGAGCATATTCCCCAAGGCAGAGGAGAGAGTGAGCTCACTTCCATACCCCGACCTGCACTCAGCTCCAGCATTTTCAGGCAAAAATTGCCTACAGTGATGGGGGTGATGGTGATGAGAACTGCTAACAATTATGAAGCTATAATGATCTATTACATGTGTCTGATGCTCCAGCTACCCTGTAAGGTGGGTGAGGAAACCTGGAACATAAGCCTCATGGCTGTCCCAAGGCCACCCACCTTCTAAGAGACAAAACTGGGATTTCAGGCTGGGCTTGTTGGACCCCAGAGGAGAACCTCTGTTGTATGTTCCACACTAATCCTAATCATTAAAGGTCCCTTTACATTAATCTGTGCTTTAGAGAACAGAGAGGTTAAGTGATAGGCCTAAGTTGACAGTGCTAGTCAGTAAGTGCCAAGCTCAAGTAGCTCAACTGCAAAGAGCCACTCTTCCCCCTCACCCAGCAGACTCGTGGACACGGTGGGTCTTAGCATTGCTAAATGCAACAGCTGAGGCTCTGGAATCAGATGGACACAGGCTGGAATCTGCCTCTGACCTTTTCTCGCTGTGCCTAACCTTCCCGGGCCTGGGCTCCTTCATTGGCAAACTGCTACTGTACAGTTGTGAGGATCAAAAGACAGTGATTGCAAATGCTTAGCACAGTGCCTGGCACATGGCAAGCCCAGAATAAACAATCACTGTCATCACTATTTGCATGACTATTCTGCAGCTGGCCCAGCCTCTTCTGGGGCCCCTATGGCTCTGGATACTAATTCCAGGAAGAATGTTAAGCAGTTCAGCACATTACCAACCAAGAAAGGGCCAGAAGCAGAACACTGTAGAAGGACTTCGTGCTTCTCTGCATCCTTTTTGAAGCAGGTGCAGGGCAGGAAGTAGACATCATGGTCCTGCTCTCACTTGGGAGTAGACAAATCCCTTCCTCTCCCAGGTGCACACTCAGGGGAGGACTCCTCCCATCCCCCCACGAAGCTTAAAGCCACCAATGCAGAGGCTTCCTGACACCCCTAAGTACTAATGAATTATCTCGTTAATCTAGTCTTCCACCAAACAGTGTATTTACTGAGCATGCTGCATGAGCCGAGCACCACAGCATTCTGTGACAAGGCATGGAAACGTAAGAGAACCACAGACAGAAGGAAGCTGACCCTGCTCTGTCCAGACTTCACTGCTGGGCTCTTTTCGTGGGTCCCCTTTCTCTTGCCTCCCCAATCTGCTCCTACATACACTTAAGTAAAAGAAAACAAAGCACTTCTGGGTCTAGAAGTATGCAACTATTACCATTTTTATGTTTCTTACCTCTTTCTTGAAGCATCTGGCATGCTCTTCGCAGCCCAGAAGAGACTGTACAAACTCAGCCACCTACAGCACAATATGAAAAGCCTAATTTAAAACATGCACCTGAAATAATTTGTGGGTTGTAGTAATCCAACATTTGAATAAAATACACTTCAAATCCCTCAAACATTTGGGGTTTCAGTAGTAACTGTCAAGTCACATTAGCATTCATCAGCTCAGAAATTAGGCCAGCCCCCAGTATGGTTCCTACCCTATCATCACCAGGCTGCCCTGCATAGGGTTACAGTGATGATGATGACAGCCTCCATCTGTGTGGAGCTCTGGCACTCTAGCAGCTTCTTGCATCTGAACCTCCCAGCCACCCTATGGGTCAGGGAGGCGGGGTCCAGTGTCCTCACATAGCAGCTTTCACCACCGCTGCCGGGAGGTGAGGACCTGTCCACCTTGCTTTTGAGCAGACTTGATGGCAAGGTCCTCTGTATTCCCCTCTGAGTCGCCAGTTCCTCACCGGTGCCTGGTGAGCCACAGGAACGCGATAATCTGTGCTGAGTTGAATTCCCACGTAAATGACAAAGCTGAAGCCCAAAGAGGTTTAATAACTTAAACCAAGGTCACGCAGGGCCGGCAACTGACAGAGATGGCTTTGGAACTCAGGTTTTCTGTCTCCGAAGCCCGAGTTCTGGAGAATCAGTCTCTGCAACTCCATTTCCCACCCTCACCTTTCTCTCCTTCTGTCCCCACGTGCTGAATTCCTTCTCATGAGACAGAGCTCAGACAAAGATCTGCCTATCAGCTCAGGAGCCATCGAGTGTTCCTGGGAGAGACTTTTTGGGAGCTCACTGAGCAAACAAGATAAAGTGTAGATTCCCAACAAACCCCAGGACAACTGGGTTCTGGCCACTTCTGGCTTGGCCCAGTGCAGGGGCAGCCTGGGATGAGGGACAAGCTGGAAAGCAACAGTAAATGGAAGCTCGGGATGTGGCACATGCGGGGACTTCAGTCTGTCTTTTCTTTTTGGTCAACTGAATTGTGTGCACTCCTCCTCCTCTCCCCGGTGTCATGGGGCAGGTCTGGAGATGACCACAGGGCTCAGGGCCTGGTATCCACATGCTCCACCATCAAAGAGCTCTGGGGGGCTTGCTCCGTCTGACCCCCAACAAGAGAAGTCAGTGGCTGCGGCCCCCAAGTTGCAGAAGAGAACATGATGTGGTCGTAGATTCCAGGTTACGGAACACTCAGGGCCAACAGCCACAGCTGTGCACACGCCCTGAGCTCTGCCCCCCAGTCTGTGCCAATGAGAAGAGTTCAGACTATCTTCTTTTCAGGGGCAATCAGAGTGTTGGCAACTGCCTTATGCACCTCTGGCATTGCAAGTATATTTTATCACGAGTCAACTTACAATCATCCTTCTAAGGTGCAGGAAGACAAGGATTTTAAAAACTCCTCCAGGCAGGTCATCACACTGCCAGGCCATGGCACCTCCAGCCCAGGAGCACCTGCAACGTGAGCGCTCATGCAGGCCTGGGCTCTAAGGACTGCCAGCCATGTCTTGCGGGAACCCGGAACTGCAGTGACTCACAGGCAGACCAGGCTGAGCCTGCTTGCTGGGTTAGCACGGTTTTCATTTACTTGGTGAACAGGAAGCACAGAGTGTGGGTTTGGTATTTGCAGGGAGCTGCTGAAAGCCGTGGGATGCCCCTGGTTGAATCCCAGGCACAGGGCAATAGGGCGGGTGATGGCAGCTGTGATGAAGAGTGGCCTCCAGAGTGTCTCGGGCCCAGGACACTGATGGGGGGTGGCCTTGTCATCCCCAGGCTGCTCTTCTGGCTGAGTATGTCTGAGCCTGGCTGTGTGTCAGGCCTCGGGATGGGTGCAAGGAGGGCCTGAACTGCCCGTGAGTGGACAGTCTGATGAGTGGCGAGAGGAGGGAGGTAAATGGGGATACAGGGAAGATCCTGGTCACATGTGCTACTGCCCCAGGACAGGGGCAAAGGCTCTAACCTACAGGAAGAGACACACTATATCTCAGGGGGAATGCCAGGAAAAGCGTCTGAAAGAAGGGGGCTCCTAAGATGGTCTCTGATGGATGCATAGGCTGGGTGCAGAGTCACAGGAGCGGGCCCAGAAGCAGGACGGCACGGGGCAGGTGTGAGCAGCAGTGCGGAGCCTAGCTGGCCAGGGCTGGGGACATGAGGGGAGTGGTGGGAAGGAGGAAGGTAGCCACGGCGCAGGTGCGGGTGGGCACGTCCATCAGCTGGCAGCAGTGATCCCGCACCCTGGGTTCTCCGCCCTGGCTATCCACACACTGGAATCCCCTGTGAGGCTTTCAAACTGACTGAAGTCCAGGTTTCCTGCCACACAGATTGCAGATCAAGCTGGACTGGCTCCAAGCACTGGGTATATATTTTTAGAGCTCCCAGTTGATTCTAATGTGCACTGCAGGCCTGGACGCTCTGCACGGGGCAGAGCAAAGAGCTGAGGTCAGAGGTGCTGCAAGGGTGACATCCTTAGGAACCAGTGACAGGCCAGGTGTGGCAGCAAAAGGAATTACAGCTGAGTGTAGCAGAAATGCTCTAGGGCAGGGTTTCTCAGCCTCAGGACTCCCGACACTGGGGCTAGACAATTCTTTGCTGTGGGGGCTGTCCTGTGTATTGTGGGATACTTAACAGCATCCCTGGCCTCCACTCACTAGGTGCCCGTAGTAATGTCTCCTTCCCAATTGTGACAACCAGATGTTGCCAAATGCCCCTGGGGGACAAAATTGCCCCAGTTCTTCTACTGGGATGACCCTTTAACAGAAAGAGGGGCTGAATGTCATAGGAGGAAGAAAATAGAAAAGTGGGGGCAGGAATGAGATAAAGACCCGTGTTTCGAGCCATCTCAGTTGCCAGCTGCAGTGGGGAAGCCATGTCGACAACGGTTTCTGCATCAGTAGAAGGAAACGCTGGTTAGAGAGATGGTCTCTTTTATTTTTATTTATTTATTTATTTTTTTCCCTTTTTGTCTTTTTTCGTGTCCGGCAACGGATCGCAACCCTCAGTGTCGCGCCCGGACCGGACCGGGACCGGCAACGGGATCGCAACCCTCACGTCGCTCCCACACCTCGCTCAGCCAGTGAGCGGGAACCGGTCCGTATGTGGGATCCGAACCCTTGGCAGGAGCGCCACTGCGCTCCCAAGCGGTGCACTGTAGCAGTGCGCCACCGGGCCGGCCCAGAGATGGTCTCTTTTAAATACTTGCTCAAAGAACTTCTGTTCACAGCAAAGGTATTGCGAGTTGCTTTGATGGTGTGCCTACGTTAAACTGTCCTTTTCTGGGCAAACAAATGAAAAAAGGAACATGCTCACCCTCCTCTGTATGGTTAGCCAAGAAATCATGTCCATGTCAAAGGCAAATTGGATTTTGTAATGGGAATAAACAATGTTTTAAACCAAAGTGTCCACAGAACAGAACCAGTGCACCAGCCAGCACAGCTGCACCTGCCACCTCCGCCGCCACCTCCGTCCCCCTCGGATGCTGGGGCAGCTGCAGATGCCTGACCTCACCACTGCACTCCTGGCCTCTGCAATTCTCTGCCATTCTGCAAATGGATTCTGATTCTACTCAGTCTGTCTTTCTCTTTCCAAAGTACAAAACAAGTTCCAAGAAATCTACTGAGGCAGATTTTTCTGGCCAAGAGTTTAAAAATATCCAAAGACCTTGATTCTCATTATTACTCAGTATTTATTTCCCCTAAGAATAGATTATGTTTTGAGATTTCATAGAAAGTTCTGCTACGAATTTCCAAATGTAAAGTGGTAAGCTTTGACACACCATAGAGTAATTTCAAAAAGTTTCCCTCTTATTCACCCCTTGAAAGAAAGACATTGGTTTTTCCTTCAAGTTTGTGAACAGCTGCTGAAATGGAAGCAAACTCTACAGAAGAAGAAACAACTATCCATGTGCCCTCCGCCCGCAGCAGCAACAGCTGTGGAATGAATGAGTCTGCTTTGTCAAGGTAACCACCACCCTGTTGGAGCCGGTGGGTGGCCTGGGCCTTTGCTCTGGCTCTGGGAAGTGCCCCATGGGGGCGCTGTCACATGGGCTCTGTCCCCAGCCTCGGCTCTGGGAGGTGTGGGGTGCTGTGGAGGCTGACACACCGACACCTTTGTTTCCCACATTCTCAGGAGCATGGTGTCCTCCAGCTAAAATCCCTGCTTTGTTTTGGAAGAACACTGAGTATGTTAATTCTAGGTGTGAGCCAGCAGTGTGGGAAGACTTAGAAGGATGACACTGCCTGGCTCTCAGATGAGCCCATCACTAAGCCCCACGCGTTTCCCCCATGACCTACTTTCTATGGCATCTTCTCTGGAGCTCAGTAGGCCTTGTGTTCTTTCAGCAGGGCTGCTGCTGCCTTAAATCTTTCCAAATGGTGGTGTTCTCTCTCTTGCTGAGCCTGTAGATGTGAGCGGACTGTGCTGGCTAAAAGTCCACTGGGGACCATGTTTCCAGCCTGGGTCTCATTTTATAACAGCAGAGTTTATTTGCCCCCTTTTAAGGGCCCAATTGTATAAGGCTGCTGTGCTTAGTTAGCAGTACACTGAGTTTTTCAACACACTCCCTCCTGTGTAAAGACTGCTATTAAAGTGACTGCCATCTTTTAAAGTTAATGAACATTTAGGGAGCACTTGGTTGAGGCTAAGGCAACTTATATGGAGTGCTTTAAAAAGCATTTTTGAATATAAGAAATAAAAGTACTCATACGTGGGCCAAGCATAACTGAGTCATACCTATGGTGGTAAACATGCACACAACACATCGCACCCTGCCCACGCGTGCCTGGATGCATACCTGACGGGAACAGACTTCATAAAATTCACCCACCCATTCATTCACTCATTCACTCAAACATGTGTCAAACACCTACTCTGCACAAGATGCTTTGCTATAAAGACATAAAAATATATAAAAATATTTTAGTTCCTGCTTGTAAAAGCTTATACTCTTGTGCAGGAGATTTCCATGACCCAGAGTAAGCAATACACTTTACCTTGACCATAACTTAGTGTGTGCATACACCCACACACCCCTCTAACCACAGTTTCACAGAACAATAACCCTCCCTACATGTGATGCACTCTCACCCATGCTTGACTTTTACTTCATACACTCTTTAGAATAATCTCTTTAGGAGAAGCAGCCACAGTAACAGAGCAGTGGAAAGCCAGCTCACAGCTCTGGGGAGTGTGACAAAGGCCCGGCCTGGCTTCTCTTCACAGCAAGCACAGTGCGGAGCAGAGTTCTCCCTCCAGGCCAGGACAGCAGACACAGGGAGTGTCATTCACTGCATCTTCTGCTGTGACACCCATGTTGCGTGATCTCCCTGAATGGCACACAACACAAGGATGCCCAGGTTCATTTCAGCGTGCCTGGTCCCTGGCCACTGGCTTCCCCTCCAATGCCCTCAGTGCCAAGAGAGCACGGGGCACCCCCAGCCCACGGTCCTGCTCAGCCCTGAGCTGCCTTTTCCAGTCATCCACCAGCTGGTCACGTGCATTGTGTCATCTAGAGCAGGCTCGTGCTCTGCTGGGACTGGCCCTTGCTGGATGCTCCGTAAGTGGACTCCTTCTGAGAGCTGTCTTATTTTCAGAGATACAAACAGAACTGTCACAAAGCCCACGTTTTCAATCCATCAGAGATTATTTTTGAGGACCTATTTTGGTGCTGGGAAATGTGTTGTAGTGTGTGAGGATATAGAAAGACATTTAGGATGTGGTCCTTGTTCTCAAGGGCATCTAGTTAGGATGATATCCAGACTAGGATACAGTCAACATCAGGGAATAATGAAAACCGTTCTCTCTGTAATGCGTCCCTGATGGAAGTCATGGTGATGGAAGCATCCGGAAGCTTCAGGAGCAGGAGCATTTTATGCAAGGCACTTAGCCTCTCTGATGGCTGCTTTTTAAAATCTATTAAAGCTCTAAGGCCTCTTCCAGCAATAAAAGGCTGGGACTACGTGCGTATCCGTTACAGAGAACCCAGGCCCTGGGATCTCACCTTCCTGCAGTCCTTGACAGCGTCTTCAGCTTCCCTCCCTTGAATCTTCCTTTTGAGACCTTCCCTGTCCTAAGTGGACCAGCTACTCCCCTATAATCACCTTCCAATCTATTGCTGTCGCTGCTGTTAGTGCCACACTTGAAGCCTTACCCCCACTTCCTGCTCACTGCTTAATGTCCCTAACAGTAGTTCCTGTTCATTCCACTTGATGGTCCCTCTGAGAAGTTAATGAAAGATCTGGCCCTCCTCTTAAGGAAAAAGAAAAGATCATACTGTACATAATTTTTCCATCTCTCAAAGCCCAGCTCTGCTGCCCCAGCTAGGAAGTGCAGACCTGAATGTGACATCTGCCCTGCTGAATGGAACATGTGGGATCCATCCCCCTGACACTTCCATGGACTTGTGCTGGCTCCTCCCCAGAGAGCACCTTTGCAGCCCCTCTCCCCATGCATGTTTTAACCGGGGCCACTGCACGTCCTCAGTCCTCAGAGGCCATCTCTGGATGCTCAGCCCTCAGGGAGCTCACCCGGTGCCTTTATGGCACCCGTCTCATGCTTACGCCCACTGGCCCATCTCTACTTCCACTGCTGAGATTCACAGGGACCTCTAACTCCACATGTCCAATGATCAATTTCCCATTTGTGCCCCTGCCCCCAAACTGGATCCTTCCCCAACGTTTCTTTTCTTCTGATGGAACCACTGTCTCCCATTCTCTCAGATGAACTCTCTGGCCTTCCAGCTCTCACGTGTTATTATCCTAATTAAGTACTAAACGGTGTAGTGCCGAGTCTGTAAATGGAATCACGTTGGGCTCATTTCACTTTCCCATCTTCGATATCTTATCTAGTTCCCTGTGCTGCTGCTTTTGACTTTAACCCTCTATTGACTTAGGTTTCTTCTCGGGGCAGCGCCCTGCCCGGGCCCTGATAGTCCACACTGGCAGTGCGGTGGCGACTCCCCGGGCGTCTCCCTCTGCTCAGCTTCTTTTCTCTCCTACTCTTTGCAGGGCTTTGCCATTCTCATCTCCCTGAAACACCACCTTCACAAGGTGACTCCCAGCGTAAGAACCACAACGGCTCCACACTGCGGACAGCCTACCACACACCCTGCCTGGCCTCTGAGGCCTTCCACACCTGGCCCAGCTCACTTTCCCCTGGCCCAGGTCTGCGGGGTGCACGGTGGCTACGAAATTAGCTCGGTGTCTGGCTCTGACTGTGCAGCTTTAAGCAAGTCACTTAGTCTCTGGGTGCCTCAATTTCCCTATCTGTAACATGAGCAAAATAAGAGCATCTGCCTTACTGTCATTACACTAATACAGTCCATTACCACAATCAGTGCCAACAGAGGACATGCTGTATACCCACCAGCCCTGGGTCTGTCATTCTCGCGTCCACGCAACCTCCTCTCTTCCCCTTCCACTGGAAGGGCCCCCTTCTTTTCTCTGCTTAGATATGTTCCATTTGTTTCGGAATCCAGCTCACGATTGATTTCCTTGTCATTCAACACTCATTCAACAAATATGTACTGGGTACCTGCTAAGTGCCAGGCAGAGTGAGAGGTTCTCAGGCTACTGCACCAGTGAGTGAAATGAGGTCTCTCCTCATCTGGTGAGGGCAGGTGCAGTGACAGGGATGACATCTGGCCGGGCTGAGGCTCCTGCAGAAGGCCCTGGCTGGTGGTAGCAGTGGACAGAGTGGGAGAGAGCATTTCAGGCAGCGGCGGGACCGTGTGAGTATGAGAATATGCAGATTCTGTAGACTAGTACGGCAGCACTCAGTGGGGCAGGAGAGGAGGGCAGGGCTGCAGAGGAGGCTACGATGGGTTGTACAGGCCTCAACGTCCTGCGAAGGACATTCTGGGGATCCAGGGGCTGTCTTAGGTTGGGCGGAACCCCCATTTTTTACCACATTCACTTCTTACCAGGACTCAATTGCTCCGTGTACTAGGGCTAGGGGGGCCTTAGAGTTATCTCCTCCAGCCCATCACCCGGCAAGGGGGAAGTGAAGCTGGGCTGGAATCTGGGCAACTGCTCTCTCCATGATGTCACTCTGCAGGACAGTGAAGCTGGGGGCCAGGAGCACAGCGACAAGTGGGAGAAGAAGAGCCACTCTCAGTCTTACTTCAAAACAGGTGGTGCTGCAAATAAGTGTCTGGAAAGTCAAGAATGAATGATGCGCCACTCACTTCTCAGCTGAACTCCCCAGCTGGTGATGTGAGGTGCCTGGGGAGTAGGGGTGGTGGTGGTGGGGGGGGGACAGAGCCTGCAGCCCTGCTGGAAAGGAAGGCTTAATTAAACCAAGACCAAGTCAAGTTGATTGTAGCAAGTGCTCAGTGGACGTTTTGTGACTAATTGAACTCCAGCTCTGGCCTTAATCCTGTTCTTAGGGTGACCCAGAGTTTTCCTTCATTTAAAAGATTTTTTATGTAAGGCCTCACTAGTGAAAACAATACCTTTATTGAAAAGATTTCAGTGAAACAGTGCATTCCTTAGAAGAAAACTGTTGTAAATATGAGGCATTTCTACAACATTATAGTCAGCAATGGGGCTTAACTGATTCTTACTAAAAACCAATGTTGTAAGACATGTTTACATTAAAACTATGATCCAGCATCTTCCCTTTGCAGAGCATCTTATATGATGCTGTGACTAAAGATAGTTTATAAATAAACCTGAGGTTGACCTGATTATCTTCTGGCTTTGGATGTCAAGCGGCCAGCTTGGACCTGCTTTGCGGCCAGTGTGCACGGATCCTGTGGGCATGGAATGTCTGGGGGTGGTGTTCCCTCCCAGAGAAGACACTGCCGGGATGCAGCCTGAGATGCTTACACATCTGTGCTTCTCCAAATTAAATCCGTGGTGTAGACTTGAGGCTAAGGCAGATGGTGATGGGACACGGGGAGGTGCTGGGGTGAGCTTGGGGAGAGGAGGCACAAAACCAGCTGGGCAGGAAACCAGCTTTCCTAATTTCCTCATTTGCTCAAAATCATGTGTGGCTTCTTCCTCCAATGTGGAATTTAAACTTAATATAGCGAATGCAAAACCTAAGGGAGAAAGAGTGTTTCCCCAGGCAGAGGACCTCCCCAGTAGGCCACCCTGATCAGTGATTTCCACCCATTGCCCAGCAGGATCCAACCCCTGCTCACCTCCTCCACGGTCCATTGGGCCACTTGACTGGCCTGGATGTCAGCCACGCCTGGAAGTAGCTTGCAGTGCTGCTCCCGGCCAAGGGGAAGGTCCCGGAAAGGGTGGGCTGACATGGACGACATGAAGACCGACTGGTGAAGTGCCTGCTGCGTCTGCTCGGCCGAGTATTCTGGAAGACAGATGGAGGGAGGTGAAGCTTGGGTCTGTGAATGGTGAGCATGGTCGAGGGCAGCCCCTCATGACAGACGGTCCCAAGTCAGGGCAGGTAAAGTGCAGACACAACCAAAACCCTCGTCTTCTGGTCATACGGATCACGGCCAGGAGGGTCCCCAGACACAGCCTATGCCACTGGTCTGTTTGAAAACAGTGGTCAGTATATCCTATACAAGAGATGCTGTAGAAGGCTCAGAAGATGGTGGCTGTTTGCCAACCAAGTTCACATAATCTCTACGAGGTAGTCTTTGATGGCCAACAAAGGGTTAGCTTGTCACTGCCACTGGCTTCTCTCACCTTAAATCAAGAGTCCAAGGAATCAGAGCAGCATGCAGAAGGTGAGTGCTATGCAGGCTGGCACACTGAGCCATCTGGGATGTGTATGTGCACAAAAAGCAATTTCTTCCTGGAAGCCGCTTCATGCATCTCTAAGACAGAAGGAGCCCAACCACATCTGGCTTCACAAACCCCCTGGGTGACAGTGAACATGAAATGCAGCACGGGGTCCCCAGGAGAGCCTGGGTGACATCCGCTGCTGCTGTAGAGCCCCAGCAATACATGATGACCTCCCCTGGGGTGAAACTGTGTGGCAGCCAGGCACTCTGGAAAGCAGCTGTAGCTCAGATGTGGCTTCTCCAGGCCAGGCACTCTAAGCGGGGTGCTCGCTTTTCTGAGCAAAAGCCCTGAAGGCACCAGGGTTCTAAGGCACTGAGGACAATGGCTGCTTGCTTGCCCAAGACTGGCTACTGCTACCAAGTAGGAAGCCTTCAACTGGGTCTTGATATACTTCAGCCTTATACTTATCAACAGTCTTCTGTGCTAGTTTTCTACCTTCAAGAGAGACTTTACTCTTATGGTATAGCCCGACATTTAAGAGGGAGCCATGGATCTCAATTCCCTAATTATTTTGCTTTGAACATACAAATGGATAGGAGCAAAAACATTATAGAGATTTTAGAGACAACTGATGTCTTAATAATGACATCTTTTAAGATATTTTCAACATGTATTAGCAAAATAAAACTGCTGATATTTAGAGACTTTGAAAAGATCACAAAAGGAAATGTTTTAAGCCTTCTGAAAGCCTACCATTCATAATGCAAATGGCAGGTTAAGTAAGCAGTAACTACCTGATTTAAAGCCTATTATGATGGTTTGTGTTTTACTAAGGGAGTCGGAAAAGCTATTATTCAAATATTTCCACCTCAAGTTAATTACCGTTTTTACTAGGTGAGGTGGTCCTAGGTACAATTTACTAGGTACAATGTACGTGGTCACTTAGACACATCCCTATTAGTAATCAGAAAGGTTCTAAACTATGAGCTAGCCTGTCCATCAGGACTTCTCTGTACAATACCACTCTCCTGGATGGGAACAGACATCCTCATATTTACCAGCCTTGCTGTCTGCACAGATAAAGAGACAGCACAATGCCAGCTTCTCCCCAATTCTTATGCTCCAGTTGCAAGCAGCAGCATATTCATCTCTAACTGCTGATTGTCCAACACTGACCTTTTTAGTATGTAAATAGGTTATCTCTCTCTGGGTAGTTCAGCCAACGGTATATAAGGCTGCAGGTTCTGAAAGCAAACTTCACCTCCTCTTCGAAAAGCCAGTATGTTGACAAATATTTATGTTCTTTGATAAAGTTGTCAGATTGGACAAGGAGCATGTATAAAACAAGCCCTTGAAATCCAGGGTGGAAGTGTCACAGGGCCAGTCTGCAGCTGCAGTGATGCACAAACCACCACCCAGCACTTTACTGGAAAGCCAAGGGTTAAAGCCTTGTATTCTTAGGGATTAAGACCTGAGCCAGAGCCAGGCTTTATTACAGAAAAGAATTACTGCATCACTCAATCAGTTGTTTTTGCTGAAATAGCATGGATTAAAAACAAACAAACAAACAAACACAATATACATTTATCTCAAACTGATGCCTTGCATGAATTACTCATGTATTGTTTCCAAAATATATAGGACTCCGAAAAGACACAGATCATATTTTGGAAGTACAAAGATGCCAAGTGACGGTGATCAGATTCCTGTGATTCACGAATAAAAGCCGAAGGCATTAAAATGTAAAAACAGCAACAAAAACAAAAAACAACCCTTTGTGCTCCCAAACAAGAACCTCTTCCACACCATAATTTTGGACGTGAATTGTCTGCTTTGGGTACTGAGACATACTCTTGCAAATATACCTAATGTGTGGCTGCTGGCACCCAGACAGTGCTGGGGTCCCTCCATTCCCTGCATGCCATTGTAGAGGCTGGTTCCAGGCTCTGGAAGAAGGCAGATGGGGACTTCGGTTAGTTCAAGCAGCAAGATGCCTTTAGGTTACAACTAAAGGGAGGGAGCTCTAGCTTCATGTTATGCACTTGAACTCAGGCTGGCTTAATATTATTGACAGCTTTGGAATACAGTTAACTGTGTCTCTATTAAATCAAACTGTTTGATAATGGAAGTGAAATCTAGATTTCTTGAAAGGTGGACAGAACTTAATTTGGGAGGCCACAAGAGCCTTGGGGAATAGGGTCCTATGCCCAAGGGAGTCCTCCATGGGCAGTGGGGAAAGATCAGCAGCCACTGTTGGTCTGCAGATCCCTTACTCGGGGTCCAGAGTGTTTACTGAGTATAAGGGCTCTTGGCTCTTTATGTGCAAGCTCAAGTTCTGGGAAATGCTTTCCAGAATCATTTACATGCTGAACACAGATAACATTTTTACTATTTTCAATTTTACTGTATCAGTTTTATATTACAAGACCCAAAGCTTGAAAGTTGAGTTTTTTATTACTACGGATGGAATCCCTGAATAGGGAGCTTGGAATAACCGGTCTGTCGTCTCTAAGACGTGACTAGAGCTGGCAGTATCTACCATGCAGGGCTGGTGTGAGGGAGGACGACAATTCCCACAGAGCGCTTAGCAAGGTCCCCAGCATGCTGCCATCGCTCAATGGCAGGTACCACTCTAAACTCCACCTGCAAACTCCATGAGGTCAAGATCCATGCTTTGTAAAGGAAAGTTGTATAATTCTAAATCAACCCAATGCAAGGCTAATTTGCAATTGTCACAAAAGAGGGGAATGCATTTTGGGGAGAGTTTCACAGTGGCTGTTCTGCCTTCTTTGTACCCTTTACCAGGCCTAATTTCTTCCACAACTGATGACTTTGGGATGGGATATTCAGGCCTAGCTGACAGAAGGCTTGGATGAGCTTTCCTCAGAGGCTCTGTGGCATGGTGGTGAAGGACTAGATTGACACTAGATTGCCAGGTTTTGAAGCCTGGTCCCCCATACAGCAGCTGAGTGACCTTGGGTGAGATACTTAACTTCTGTGCACCAAGTGTTTTCATCTTGAAATTGGGTAATAATAGTCCTTATACCCTACTGAGTTGTGATTAGAACAGCTCCTGGTGCATCATGAGTGTTCAGTACATGTCAGACATTACATTACTGCCATAAGATAAAAAAGTATTTTCAGTTGAAACAATAGTGAATGTGGGGACCTACAACATTTCCAAAGCCAGTGTGGCTATGAAAGCTGAAATGCATACTGAGGTTCAGGATCTTGAGGGCCATGTTCACATTTCACACCTGGAAATGACAGTGCAGTGGTCACCAAGATCAAGTGCAGAAGTGCTAGTGGGAGGAAACGACAGTGGGATCCTCAAAGCTGCTGCTGCCAGTGCAGGGCGAGACATCTGCTACCCAGGCAGACCAGTGCTGATGTGTGGCGACCACATCCCACTGTTAAAATGCACTCAGTCTGCCAGCTTGGAAATTATGTGACTCTTGACAGATTTTTAAAATTGGGGGTGATTTGCATTATTTTAAATTCTATGCATAAAATTAGACTTTTGAAAATATCCACTTAAAAATTTGCATAAATTTTTACAAGATGTGAACATACTGATTTTAACTTTTCACCAAGTCCAGCACAGCTCATGTCATATTGGATACTCACTAAATAGTTGTTAATAAATTAAGTAACATAAGCTGGTGATATACTGTCCTCAGCAGCCATCCTCATAAATCAACAGGATCAGATTATTGTATCTCGGGGTAAAGAGAGATCTCCAGATTAGAAAAGGATGTTTACATGAGCAGAGGGCAGAAAGGGTCACTTGTGTCCTTCGTCCACTGGACCTGGCATTACAGCCCTGTTTCCACTTAGCACAATTGAGGGATATGGGCTGCTTCCAAGCTACACTGCTTCTCTGCAGAAATCACTCCGACCCAGCTCCCCTAAAAGTCAGCCAAGGAAATTTAGCCTGCAAAAGCAGCCCTTCTACTGAGGTTTTAACATTTTAATGAATCCAAGTGTCCTTCACACCAGAAAATAAAATGCACATGTAATCCTGGGTTTGCCTCTAACACCAGTGTGT